CTTATTGGAGCACGCGCTGCCAAATGCCAATACAAATGGCGCAAAAAAGGACGCGCCACGGTCGAGGATGTGCCACAGAGAAGCGAACAAAAACAAAAACAAAATAAGAGAAAAAGTAACCCTGGCCAGGGTTGCAACCACTTTGAAGTGTTGCTGTTTGCTCTGCTCTGCCCCTGCCGCCCTTTTGGCGGGGACTTCGTCCTAAAACATGCGCACTAAACGCTAATAGTTTGCCCTCCGACACCGCGCTTCTGCCCAGAACCCATCCCCAATCACTCCCCCAATCAACCCCGAAGAAGTCGCTGCTCCATTTTGTTCCATTTCAGATTCATTTCAGCCCCCAAAATCCCTTAGATGAGGAGGAACTTTCATATTAAATATTCGAAAAAATGCATTCGTTCACTTATTCATTCGCATATTCAGAGACTCGAAGGGGCAGGAGGGAGACACGGGGGATGGTGGTTTACTTCCTGTTCCCGCAAGATTGATTCACAGCGTGACCAAAGGTCCTGCAACAAAATTATTCACGCATCTCGTCCCTGGACATGCAAGCCACCAAAAAATAAAACATAATAAAAAAAAGAGCCGGACACGTGCGCTCTCTGATTTTTTACGACTTTAAGGCAGGAGCAGAAGGAGTCGTAGGCGGGGAGGAAGCGTCGGAGGAGTAAAAACATTTTACGAGGGTGTCGTACAAGTTTCAATATCCTTGCCCCATGGCTCCTTGGCCTTCTGGCTCATCAACCACAAGTCCTGCAAGGGGTCCTCTTGCCACACCCATTCAACATATTTTCTTGCGGTATTTTTTGATGAAAATACCTATAAACCATATGTAAAAGTACAATCTGTGATAATTCTCTGATAAGTCTTTAAGCATTGAATTCTTTCTAGAAGGGTTTGATTCTTCTTGTATTAAAATTTTACTCCGTTAACTGAAATTAAACCTGAAAGAACCTTGAAGTGATCTATTTGTTTCACTGATTGTTCTTCAAAAACCCCTTACCACTTCCAAAATCTCTTGTTGCAAGACTCAAATCAATAGAACTTATATACACATCCCTGACCCACGCAAACACAAGATGACCAGCAGGAAAAAAAAAAAAAATGGGGAACCATCTAAAAAAATCACATTCCATAAAAACGAAATGCCGAAAAACTGGGCGTTTCCGGAACCCGCAATAACTGTCAAATATCAATGTGCCCCGAAATGAAAAAATAAATAGCAAGAAATACCATAAAATAAATAAATTTATGTAGGACAATAAAAATAAAATCCAATAAAAGTTGCCTTTCCTCCGGGAAAGGGAACCAAGGAAATTCTGTTCTTCCGAACAATAAGGATGTGGGAATTATAACCAAATTATATTTAATGGAATGTACAATCAGAATATATTTACATGCAATGTGTGGAGGTAAAGTAGCGACCCTACCCGTATCCCGTGATCGTATTCAAATGGAGGTCAAGTTCAGTGATAAATATTATTGGGAAAGTCGGCAATGATTTTTCCTTAATTTTCGTATTTAATTGTGGCCCGCATTAGCCCTTGAGAAGCTGCGATTGTTGATCTCTCTTTGGGGTAATTATTCAATAGTTTGAATTGCAGTCCGATCTGACAGATTACCTACAGTGACAGTGACCCCCGATGGCAGATTAATCCACCCCTAACCCATTTCCATTTGATTGTTTGCATGTCCCGGGACAAATGATGCTCATTAGGTGCCCTGCCGTCCATGAGGGTTGTTGCTCGGCGCAGTAATAAATTTAATTATAGTTAATCTTCAATAATTTGGCATGAGAAAATGCCACTCGGTTTGCTTTGGTCATGGTCATGGTTTCGAGTGTGAGTGGTTACAAGATAGAGCTTCTAGATACCTTTTTTATCCAAGAAATCATTAAGCATCCCCATTTAGCAATCCATCAGCTGATCGATAAAGGAGATGGATAGCAGCAGCATTCAATTAAGTAATCCCCTGTAGACATTTGCAATATCCGCAACCTGTTCATGTCACAGATCCCTCGATAAGGCATCTGCCATTCCCTGAATAATCAGCTTTAAGTCCGATTACTGCGGATTTTCGCTGCAGGGTGGTGGTTTCGATTAAAACAGAGAGGACGGCCGTTAGATAAGCCACACAAATTTACATATACTACGTGTGTACCTTCGGACCTACATCAAAGAGAACACAGACATTCGGGCACAGAGAAACTTGACATTTTGCACTTGGTCAAGCATGGAGAGCGGAGCAGCGAAACTGGGCGACATCTGAAGGGGTTTGCACAACTTATGGCGACATCGATAGTACAAATACCAAACCGACAAAAAAACGAAACCCCTAAAAAATAAAGATACACTGAGACTCACGCTCACGCTCTCTCTCTCCCTCTTTCTCCTTCTGTGGAAACCACTCGACAAGCTGTTGGCATACATACGATACGATACGAGAGGAGAATGTGCTGAAAGACACTCGAAAGTATGCTACAGTTGCCGGCGAATGTCTCCACACGCACACACACAAACACACCGACACACACAGCCCGAAACATATTCGTTCTCATTCTCATCCTGATCCGTAATCCCCCCGGCCCCACAGAGAACTCTGCCTGTCATTTATCTTCACCGTTTTTTTGTGTAACGAGAAATGTCGAGCATCCAGCCCAAAGTTTGTCTGTTCCTTTTTCTTTTTTTATCTTTTACAATTAGAAATTCTGTCCTTGGGCTCTCCATATACATACATATATATATATATATATTCCTTTTTCTGATTTTTTCGTCTTTTGGTCAGATAAATGCAATTTTCGGTGTGTTCTCCCCCTCGCTGTTAGCATGTGATTAAGGAAGGAAATTGTTTTGGACAACGCACAAAACAAATAACGCGCATGGGGCTTGTCCTGCGGCCCCTGCGGCCCTTGCGGACCCTGCTCCCTGTCTGTCTGTCGGAAGAGGATGTTCTGTTCGTTCGGTTCTTATCGCCTAAGTAGCATCATTTAACTGCTGTCTGTGGTTGCTTTTTGCCGCTTTTTCCAACTTTTTATTGCTTCATTTGTTTTTGGTTGTTGTTGCTGTTTGTTTTTTGGGTCAAATAATCGCCTGGGCAGTATAATTTGTCGTGATGAATGTTTCGTGAATGTTTTTTCCTGTAATTTAAGGTAAATATGTCTTTCCGATGAGGATATGTGATTCATGGAAAGGAAAATGGACCTAGCTTAAAAGTTTCTAAGAATATACCAAGGGGGAAGACTCCGGCTCAATCGCTTCGCTTGTACGCCAACCTCCGGCTCACTAGCCTCGGCTCGCTCGCGCCGATATGAGTCAACTATCTGAAGATGACCCAATACTTTTTTAAACAATAGAGAGATGATACGATGATACGTATACAAATTAATTGGGCAAAAAAAACTTAAATGGGCCTTTTGTTAAATCTATGTACATCGTGCCAAATGACGAAAGATTTATGATTTTAAAATTATTTTCTGGTTATGTTATGTTTTGGGATATAACGCGAATATACTAATTACTAAGAACAGATATTTGGAAATATTTTCACTTATGTTTTACGAGTGTAATGGAGAACCATTTATTACGCTTCTCTAAATTTCATCACCCTTCCAAAATTGGAGCTTTATCCCTTGATCTAGAGACAATTAATGGTGATCCTTTGAGAAGTCACCCACTAATTGGACATATGGAATTGCGGTCGCCTGGTGACATCAAAAACCAACAGGTTGTCGCAGCAACTATCGTATCACATATTATAACCTCTCAAAAATGGTGGATGATGCACAGTTCTAGATAATTACATAATCAGGAATGTTAAAAAAAAGGTTATTGTCCGCCAGAGAGGGTCGGATCTGCAGCTGATGATGGGAAGGCATTTGATGGGTTTGTAGTTTGGGGTGACATTTTGTGGTTAAGCAATTTCGCCCTTGCCACGGGTGGAGCGGGATGGAGTGGGATGGAGCGGTGTGGGTGGCATCGTCCATCGCCCGGCAACGAACGCATAATTTATAATTGTCAAAGGAATTGCCAGGGATCGGGGCCGCTGGGGGATGGGTCGCGCGTCAGCGCTGATTTATGGAATTTAATAAATTTCCACAGATTTTAATCGCTTGTAATTATACGAAAAAGAAGGACAGAACAGCAACAAAAAAGGTGCAGCAGCAGCAAAAAAACGGACACAGTACAGAGACAGAGACACTTCGCAAATTTCAATTAAAATTAAGAACGAAATCAGCGACAGGTAATGTCCACGTTTCTCCCTTATTTGATTGGTTTTTCCACCATTCAATGGCAGTGTGTGTGTGTGTGTGCTACCAATTCAATTTCCCAGCCAAACGATTTCCTTTTATTTTTATTTCATTGTGTATTTTTTCCTGGACTCTGGACTCCCCGCTCTCCCCGATCTCCCGGTACTTGCGATTGTATTATAAAGCCTCTCATATTCTTACCAGCAGCAGTCACAGATTGATTTTGCTCTCCTCTGTCCTCTCCTTCCTATCATCTTTTTGTTGTGTGTGTATTTCCTTGGAGACAAACTGGCCCGCCCACAGGACTTGCGTTTTTCATCCAAACTTCAAAGAACTTTCGGCTGCCGCTGAGCCTCGAGTGTCCTTGCCGTGTGTGGTCCTCGGCTTATGCTTCTTTTTTTCCATTTATGTTGCGTTTTTCTGGCTTCGGTTCTGGGATTCAATTTTTCTTGTTTCGGCTCAGTCGGCCTCAATTTGATTTCCAAAAAAAATGGCAAAAGAAGATGAAGAATCGAGCGGTCTTGAGGTGTGGCACAGTCGGCACTTTTGTGGTTTCTGGGGGAAGGACTTCTGAGTGATGGCGATGCTGGAAGGTCAAGGGGATGGAAGCTTCTACGAGAGATCTTTTGAAGGGTATGGCATTGAAATTTCTGTAGCATCTTTCATGACTCGATTATAAACTCCGAAAATACAAATTCATTCATATATGTAATCATCAAAATTGTGTGTTTTTTTCCGAGAGTTTTACCGAGAAAATCAACTGCTGAAAGTCAACCAATATCAATCAATTAATCGCTCATCATGGCCGAACGAGTTGGAGGACCCTTGAACTTGTACATGTTTGTGTTGCACACTGGCCTGCTGATGTCATTCTTTATTATGAGCGGCATTATGCAATGGATGCTCCTTTGCATATACATGAAGCATGGACATATCGTGTACACGATGATTTTATTCTTCGCCGCTCTGTTGCTGCTCACCTGCATACACTTTAGCGAGTTCCTCAAGTACGGCAAGCCATGGAACTACATCGCCATTCTCAGTTGCTACGAACTATTGACCCTGGGAGTCACTAGCTTCATTGTGGACAGTAGCGCTGGCGCCGCGATAGGTGTCATTATGGGTGCAATTTTAGTCTGGAGTGCAATTCTGGCGGGATGCTATGCCATCATTCGTTTTGTCAAGTATCCCAATCCCTACATATTGGGCGGCGCTGGCGTTGTGGGTCTGATGATCTCCATTACCATGGTGGCCGTCGATCAGGTCCTGGATTCCAGGGTTTGCGGGGAAATAGCCCTGTTCATTGTGTTGCTAAGTGTTATCACCATGCTGGTCTCCCATGTGCTGATGACCTACGACAGCAGAGACGTACTCACGAAGGTGGATACCCTGCTGGTGGCCTTTGTGCTCTACCTTAATTATGTGATAATTATGGTGATCATATTCATTTTCGTCATTCGCAACAGGCGCTACAAATACGTGGAATGTACTACAGAAGTCACTGTGAAGCGCGCAATCGAGGCTACAGAGGCGGTAACATATTTCTACAAACCTGCATGGGAAATTGATTGACGTGTTGGAATGCTGCAACGCCCACCTACCCACCCATCGTTCAACAATGATGCCGTGGAGATTCTCTTTATTTGGTACAGCACATGAATCATCATCTAGCCTCAATCACGTCCCTGACTCATAATACCTACGTGACTTGCGATCTGAGTTCGATTTCTGTTTGTGGAAGTCCCCCATATTTTTGACAGATAATATACGTACTTGGTTTCATAAACCTTTCAATAAATTAAGTTTGTGTTATTATTTGTATTACTCAAGGATTGTCAATTGAGATATACATATTATAAGGAATACCTCTGATCTAAACTATTATTATATATCTTGTATATATATCTATTTTATATCTAGATCTAGTTCAAAACCAACGAAAGCTTGTGTTAAATTTTGAAAATAAAAAGCTAACATTTTTAAAGACTTTAAAGGACTGGTAATAAAAACAAATGATGCTTTCTGGTCACACTGGTCAGCCATAAATTAAACTAGAAAAATATTTGCCAATTGGAATTGCACAGGAAGGACGCAGAATGCCCCCCACCGCCCCACACACAAACAGAAAGCTGATATGGCTGTAGTCGGGGGTCAGGAGAGTCGCAAGAGGAAGAGATGCCATGCCGGCAATTGAAATTGTCGTCATTTCTGTTGTTATTGCTAGGTTTTTTGGTTCGCAGCAGCGGATGCAATTCCTACAAAATGATAATTTATGATAATGATGCTTCCGTTATGGGGCGCACAAAACTGGACACACAGGACACGAGGACATTGAGAGACATTGGATTGTGGCATGCAGCATAAAAATCACCGAGCCAGAGGGGCGATACTGTGTGGGGGGCTATGGCGAAAAATTTGCCCGTTTTCATTCATTTTACGGGGTCTGGCCTCGCATATTTATTGATAATTTCCGTGAATTTTGCAGCAGTCAAGCGAAAGCGGAAGCTGTGCCATTTGCTGCACGCCTGCCCAAAAAAGGACAATAGTTGCGCCATGCAGCGGACTGTCTGGAGTGCCTAGAGTGTGGGCCATGATGGGTTACGAGGCTGCGACAGTGCCAGGCCCAAATCAAAGTGTGTGCCTATCGATTGTCTAAGCGTTTGTCTAAGCAGACTGTCTCCCTCAACAATTGTTTCGACTGCCTGCCTCTGAGTATTTATGGGTTACGCTCGGGCAACAATGGGCCCGTCACGTCCATTGTCTCTGATTATCAATAAACATTAGCCAGACAAAAGGATGACTCTCGCCATTGGGCGAGCAATTCTAATGACCTTGAAAATTAGTTCCTGCACCCATCTAGGATCCAGCCTCCCTCTATCCCCTCGTACTCATAAGCCCACAAAAATCGTTAATTATTGTTTATTATTTATCGTTGATTGCATATTAATTGTTTTCGCTTTATGACAAAAATTGCATTTTAATTTGAAATTGCCAGCATATGGATGTCGGCCGTCGGAGGTCAGACACGTTAACATATGCTGGGTCTCAGCTCATTGCCGATGCACTGCATCCGCTTCTGGTCAAATGGCAGGAAGATGCATTAAGGCCACAAATAGTGTGGGACAAACCGACAGGAAGGACACCGTGACAGCAGCCAGACCAAAGAGCGGCTATAATGAGCCGGGAATCATTTGAATTATTATCGGAACTTTAATCATGATGGAATTATATTATATTATTTACTACGTGAATGGATGTGCTAGTGGCGGATGGGTTTTAAAGCGGAATCTGTTTAAGTTATTGATAATTGTTACGGCAGAAAACGCAGTGGCAGCCCTAAATATCTCTTCGCCTAACAGCACAGACATACGACTCGGTATATAGCTGGATATATAGCTGGGATCGGAAACGCTTCCTACCCTACTGGGTGTTACACAGCTACACATCCACAAAAATTCTAATATACCCCTATACTCTTTGAGTATCGGGTGTATCGCTCATCCGAAAGTGTTGATTGGTGCTATGGATAAAGATTCAAATGTTATGTGTTGCACATCAGGAAAAGTGCAACTGCAAGAAATTTTAACAGCTAGTATAAGTATTCGGTTGATTCGTCTGCCATGTGCTGCATCACTACCAGTTTTTTGCCTTCAATTTAAACTATTTGAGAAGCCTTGGTTTGATGATAGTTTACACGATAGGCAGGACAGGGTTGAAATATTCTTTTTTAACATTCTAAAATCATAAGGATCCATCGAAGACCAATATTTAAAGAAAAGAATAGGTCTATTTGTCTAGGTAATAGTCGTATAACTCCTTGAAATTTTCTCTTCAGATATATAATATTAACGTTATCCATTAATATTTATTATAATCGTGCAGCTATAGTTCCGTGGCTTCCATATTCCCCGTTTAATCTATTTGTTATCCCAGAAGCATACCCTTGTCAGACGAGAAATACCCATTACAATTATGAATTTATCATCATTCATTTATGCCATTCTTCCTACAGAAGAGAGCAGCCAACTTTTGGGCTATCAAAGCACGAGGGCAAATTTGTTCAGCTGCATTGAGCTCAGCTACTCATTTGCAAGAATTTAAAGTGCACTTGCCAGTTGCATGTGGAATGGATATGGAAATAGTTTTCCCTTATCTGGCCGGGGGTTTGGATTCGGGCTGGCAGCAAATGGAGCCAAAAGTTATAGACGAACAGGCAAATGCAGGAGACTTCCATTTCCTCCATCTCTGGGAAGTAGTTCCATCAGCGACTCCAAAAGAGGCAACAAAAAAAGGACCAACTTTCGTTGGGCATAATGCGAGAGTCCCACAGGGAGAGAGAAGTGTTTGGCATAAAGTTATGCGCCAGCCAAACAACAATAAAATAATATAATTTTTTTGTTTGCAAAACTCTCAATTGGAGGATAGGATGAATTTTTTTTTTTCTTGTTTTGGGGCGAATACGTGTTGCAGGCGAAGCCTTGCGTCCTTCTTTTTTTTTGGGGCAATTCGCGACTTGCGTTCGACGCTTGGTCATAAACTTTTGAAGGAATATCGAAAGTTTCTTCCTGGCATCGCGCTCTCGGCTCGGCAAAAGCTTGGGAGCTGCGCGAGAGACACACAAAGGCTACAAAACTTATAACGAGAAAACTTTGGCACTTGGCAAATGCGCGATAAAGAAACAAACAGAACAGAACAGAACGGAACAAAATAGAACTGAGAAGCATACATATATATCTGGAAGGGAGAGGAGATGAGACGCGCTGAGATGAGCTGGAGCCGCGGGGAGGCGGCGGTCGGCGAAAACTAGAAGAAGATGCCTCGCAGTTGATACGAGGCAGAGGTAAACTGGCTAAAAACAAAATGGAAGCTGATAAAACTGTCTTTGGCGATGGCGAATTATGGTTGAACTACGATTACAAGGAGCTCATAAGGGTCTCCAGAAAAACTACTCTCCCATCAATTTTATTTTAATTAAAATTAGTGGAAAATTAAATTAAGGTAATGATAAATAAATATAATAAAATAAAATGAAAACAATCAAATTAATGCTTGTTGGTTGTAAAAAGAGTATGATTTCTCTGGAGAAAATATGTTTAAGTTATGTTATACATAAAAGGAGCTCGAATTTGTTACATTGATTACATTAAAACATAAAAAATCTAGGATTCAAGCACCACAAAATAAAGATAAATATACATATAAACAATAAAATAATACTTGTTATTTTTAAGAACAGATTTAATTTGTACTTATTTGATAATTTATATGAATTATTTACATGAATAGAATTAGGTTTACAAAATCTAAATCCACTTAAAAAAAGCCATCTCGACCTGGTTCTTCGAACCAAATCCATGTACATATAATAATATATTTTATTTAAAATTAAAATCCTTTGGAGAAAAGTTCTTTATTTAGTTTTTTATGCTGCTACTTTTGTATAGAAACGTTTAGCATATTTAAGAGTATGTTACAAATAAAAACAGCCGAATGCAAATAGAATTTATTTACAATCTAAAGAAATTTATACCAACAAAATGAGCAACACGTCAGCATGTAAGTGTCCCATGGCAATTCGGTTATACCCATGACAGGATATAGGAAACAGCATATAGCAGAGCCAGCGATTGGATAAAAACTTGCTCAACCTCAGCCCACAGAGCATCGGGGTTCGAGGCTGGGACAGGGGGTTCGGGATTGGGTTGGATGGCTGGCGAAATATAAAACTTCGGCAAAAGCAAAATTGTTCCCTGACAATGGAAAAGCAGAGGGAAAACTCAAGAAAACTCATTCGCGCGCATTTCAACTAACTAGCAGAGTGGGAGGGTTGGGGTGTGGTGAGGGGGGTTGCCAGTAAGGAAAAACTGGCAAAAATTATTATTTACGCACGGATGGTGTCATCTAATTATGAATTCATTTTCATTTTGTATACTCGCAGCATACTGAAGCAACAACAACGGTTCCCTGGGTTTCCTTGGGCTTCCTTGGGCTTCTTTTTTGGTTCTGGGGCCGGCTAAGAAATTAACAAAATGCGACCGCACTCGGACAATACACCTGCAGCAGCAGTGCCGTTGCAGGCATCCTGATCGTCATTCCCCACATTATTGCGATGCTGGTGGCACTGGGGACTGCCTGCTTTTAATGCAATATATTTTCCAAGAGATTTTCCAGGCACCCGCGACGATAAAAAGTTTCGCTGCACGCAGCATTTTTACTACGCGAGTATTTTGCATTCTGCAGCTCTGCTGCATTTTGGCTTAGACCAAAAGCCAGGCCAAAAGAAAATTTCATGCTCTTTGAAAACTTGTTAAAGTATGATAACCACAATGCAGGCCAGCACTACCCCCACTCCTCCATCTCCCTTCACCTACTTCCCCTAGAGTTCGCCGCAAATAATAATAAGCAAGTTGGATGCCATTCCAGAGACCGGGACTCGTTAACTTGCCTCCCAAAAGTTAAGAAATGCATAAAATTTGTTAACAAGCTAAAAAATAATGCAGGGGAAAAAATAGAATGCCTTGTTCATACCTATACCGGGGATGGGGTGGGAATGGGGGTAGGCTGCCCCACAAGGCAGCCATTTTCTTAGCGGATATAACTAACAAGCGCGAAATTTTCTTTCTGATGCCCTTTTTTTGGCCATAACTATTTTGCTAGGAACCTGGAATTATACCATATTCGTTGCAAGAAAAATAATCATAAAATATTGAATTTAATTTTTGTTTTTGAATTTTTAAATAAAAGATACGGAATAACTCTTAATCACTATCTGATCATAATGGGTCGAATATA